CCCATCTTACTCATGGGTATGTCATGGAAAGGTACCCTGATCATCCACTCTGAGAACTGTCAGGTCCCAATTTCAGTTTGCCATTTTCTATTGGACTGTCCTGCCTATCAAGAAGCCTGCAGAATTTTCCTCCAATGCTGTCACCACTCTTAAAACCCTGTATCTTCCCTCTTTGCTGATGACCCCACCTTTGACACAGACTTCCACTTTGATAATACAGTATGTCCTTTAATCACCACTAAAATATACAACCATTATTGCACAAGACCATAGCCCACATAACAGATGTAGTGGAGGAGTCGTCGTCTTCTGGGAAAAGTCCTAGTTCCCTGGAAGCAGGAAGGGATGGCTCTAGAAACTGCACAAATTGAGAACACAACTCCCTCAAATTCTACCTAGCCAAAAGCGAAGTGGTGCAAATTCTATGTTTGGGGCATCTGTAAGCATGGAATATTAGGAAAAACAAATGGGACATGCAATTTTGAACATCCCAAAAAATGTTCAGACCTCCTGTCTAAAGGAATGTGTCATTCTACCTGCTGGAAATTCTTTCACCCAGAAATATGCCACTCTTCAGTCTTCAAAAAACAGTGTTACAACATCAACTGCCCTGCATACCTTCTAAAAGGGACCAGGAGGTACAGACCTCACAAGACAAAAAACAGTACAGTGGAACCTCGACTTACGAACGCTCCACCATGCAAACTTTTCAGGATACGAACAGTCGTTCGGTCAGTTTTTTGTTTCTAAATACAGATGAAATTTCAGGATGCAAACTTCCCCCTCAAGGGAGATTCCTTCAATAAATAAATAAAATATTTATTTCTTTGCAAAGGTTAATGTGTGTTTACATATAATATGACTGGAGCAAAGAAAGCCACTATCATGCTGAGGCATTTCGGGCAAACTTAATCTAATACTTAGACTACTTAAGTCTAGAAAGGTGAAGATTAGTAGTGGTTACCAATGTTTTGCTGATGGTGGTGCCAACTACTGGCAGCCTTCTGAATTTCTCCTTACTGTTATTACATACATGTAGTATTATTATTACAGTGGACCCTCAGTTAACGATATTAATCCGTTCCAGAGAACTTGTCCTTAACCATTTTTATCATTATCTGAATTAATTTTCCCCATAAGAAATAATAGAAATCCAATTAATCTGTTTCAGACATCCAAAAGTATTAAACAAAATAATTTTTTTACATGAAATATATATTTCCCTACACAGAAAACAATGATACATGAAGAATAAAACAATAATATCACACTTACCTTTATTGAAGACATGGTGATGCATGGAAGACGGGAGGAGGGGAGAGGACGGAGGAGTTCACAATTGTTTGGAAGGGGAATCCCACTCCATAAAGACTCCAGGTACCAAGTCCTTATCCTGGGTTACTTCCCTCCTTTGTTTTTTAATGCCACTAGGACCAGCTTGAGAGTCACTGGATCCCTGTCGCTCAAAAGAGTTTTCCAGAGTGATCTGTTTTTGGCTTATGTTAGGAATTGTGTAGGAAGACACACGATAGTCCTTCAATATGACACTTATATCAGCTCTACGGCTTATTTATCTAGCACAATTCATTTAATATGACAAACAATATTAATAACACAGAAACATGACATATACTCTAAAATGAATAAAATACATCATTATGTATGTCACGAGTGTTGCTGTGTTGTTGTTGGGTGTATAAGGGCCACTGAGAGCATAAGCCGTACATAGTGGTGGAGGGAGGCCGCAGCAGAGGCAGTAGAGACGGCAGTGTTGTCAGTTGCCCTACATAACTCCAACAACACTGGAGGAGTTAGGTTCATCCTTTCCTTTTTCTATCAATTAATCACTTAACTTACTTCCTATAGTTAATGCTACACTGTATCGCTGGCTGTCGTTATAGCCTTTATAGATTCCTGCTGCTTCAGTATCGTATGTACTGCAGAATCACTGAAAAAGGCACATTCTCCCCTCTCTGACACTAGAAGCTTTATGCCAATGGTGGCTTATTTAGCAGTTACAAGCACTAAAAAAATAGAATAATACAAAATGTATCGCATGTATGCATGGAATTGTCCGCAGTGGCTTGTAAACAATGGCACACTAGCCACACTGGCGTGGCCGGGCGACTCGGGCTGCGCGGACACGTTCTGGACGAATGTCCTTTACTAAGCTTTTTATCATTAGCCGAGCCAATATTTTGACACAAAAACGTATCAGTATCCGATTTTATCGCTATCCGATGGCATCGTTAACTGAGGGTTCATTGTATTATTATTGTATTATCATTATTGTTATTATTACTAGTAGTAGTAGTATGTACATGGTGAGGGGCTCTTGATCTAGGGAATTAGATCTGTGCTCCAGTTCCCTAAATTAATAATAATTATAATAGGTACATACTAATAATAATAGTAATAATAATACATACTACTATAATAACAAGTGTGCTTCGAAAGGCCATCACTAGATGGCAGTGAATACTACAACAATGCAGGAGTGGTTATGGCCACCCCCACTTGTTATATATAATAACATATTTTATTCATTCTAGAGTATATATCAGGTTTCTATGTTATTTTTATTGTTTATGTCATATTAGATCAATTGTGATGGATAAATAAGCCATAGATTTGATATTAGCATATTGAAGTGTATTTTGTACTGCCTCTGTGAGCAGGAATTCCACTGGAACAGATAAATGGTATTTCAATTAATTTAAATGAGGAAACTTAACTCGGCATACAGAGAAATCAGAATACGAACAAGGTCACGGAACGGATTAAGTTCATAAGCCATGGTTCCACTGTAGTTACAACAACCCCACTCCAAGTGATTTTTTAGTGGCAGCAAACTAAGAAAGAAAATGGAAGGAAATCAAAATAGTCCACCACCTTGGAGCCTTGTTGGACCGAAGGCACAGCCAGTGCCCCCTCCAACATGGCCCTCCAGAACCACAACTACTGATGCAAACAAAATCCCCCCAACAAACACAGAATATGACCTCGTTTATATCTGCTACAGGGCCTTAAGCCATCCATCAACAAAATACCTTTTATCAGTGGACTAATAGAGGAGTCAATGTTATGTTTGCAGCCTTCACAGAGGCCCACACAAAAGATCACTTTGACCATGAAATATGGATAAATGAGTATGACCTTTTTAGATGCGACAGTGTTGCATAAGGAGGAGCACCAAGTATACATCAGCAAGACAGCTAAGAACATATCTGTTTAAAGAACATGGATATGCTCTTCATCCATAAAACCCTTATATATAGCATCACACCTGCTGGACTAATTCTCCAGGAATGTGACAAACTGTGAAGATGCTTGGAATTATCGGTTATTAAACTTGCCAAACACTAACCAATAAGGGGACGTTTACTTCCCTAACACATATTGTACTACAAGAGTAAGCTTAGCATGGGCCAGTAGGTCCCCTGCAGTGTGCAAATTCATGCTAGAGTAGCTTTACTCATACCTAAGTTCATGATATCACTTCTGGGAATTTGGCAAGCTATTGCCTCATATCTACTATGTACCTGGAAAAAAAAAATCCAGTGATAACTGAGAAGTTATACAAATAAATTAGGCTTCCTTGCATTTGTTTCACCAACTGTCAGTATATTACTAGTCTCCAGAAATTGATATGCACTACTTACTAGTATGTATTCATAATACTAATTTCCTCCTACGATGTTTCTATGCCTGTGGGATCCAAGTGTTGTCAAAGGATTCCATACAACTGCATATGTCTGATAAATTAGACACGTTCAACACTTGGGTATCTTTATTGAGGAAACGTTTTGCCACACAGTGGCTTCATCAGTCCATACAAGGGAGAATGGTGAAGAATAAGGGGAGAATGGTGAAGAATAAGGGGAGTTTGAGGTAATCAGTCCAGTCTTGAAAAAGAATACAGCATGTGTGAAATGGCCTATACACGTATACTGTAGACAGGCGAGGTGAAGCAGTCGTAGGTGGTATCACACTTGACAAATCCAAATGTGTAAGTAGGTCATGCCTAAAGTTTAGGCAAGTGAAGAATTCCCTGTATTAAGATCCCAAGATGTTTTTGTGTCTGACAGAAATGTAGATGAATGGTTCAGAGAACCGACAAGTTCTCCTTTGTATGGACTGATGAAGCCACTGTGTGGCAAAATGTTTCCTCAGTGAAGATAACCAAGTGTTGCACATGTGTCTAATTTATCAACTTGTCAGTTCTCTGAACAATTTATCTACATAACTGCATATGTCTCCTAACACTGTCAGCATCTCCTATCATTACCTATCCAAACAGGTCCTGATGTCAGTGCTACACAGTACATGACTTGTTATTCTGCACATCAACATTGAGATTGGGGGAAGGGGAGATAAAGAATGGTGCCTTGATGCCAGTGAAAGGCTCTTGATCCAGGGCACTTGAGCTACCACCCTCCACTTCCTTTAATCAAACCGAATTACCTCCCATCCCCAAGACGCTGTATGACCACTATGGGTTTAGCACTTCCTCATAAGCATCATTATTCTGCACAAAAAAAATTGCTAATGGTATATATTAGTTATAGCAGTCACTTGAGAATCGCTAAAACTGTAAGGGGTGATACGCCTTGGGAATGGGAGGCAATCACGTTCGATCTGAGGAAAGTAACTATGACCGGAAGGAGGTACAGATAATTTACATGCCTGGAGAATGAAAAGCTGTGCAATAGATAATCAGACAGCAAAAATGACACCTGTTGTGAGTTGTTTTAGTTTAGAGAAAGATGTGATAAGTCGCACTTCCCAGAGAGTAGAAGCGGCAATGAGCCGACAAGTGGATGAAGACACATGAAAAGCAAAGACTATTATGACAATGTTTCGCTCAATGGCGGCTTCATTAAGTTAGTGCTTGTTCAAGCTCTCACGAGCGAAACAATTCAAGTCTTCATGTTTCATGTGCATTTATGCACTGTCTGAAGAAGTGGAGAGCGCCTCATGCAAGAAGTACTGCTGCTCACCAGTGAGGGTCGATGGAGTAGTCGAAGGAGTCGTCTAGCCTGGAGGCCGACCTGGTGTGCTCTGAGCGTGAGAGTGAGGTGTTGGGCGTGGACTCCACCCCAGACATGAGTCGAGTAGTGAGCGTGTGTGACCGCTGCCGCTGTAACGTGCCACCACGACTGCCAGGTTCCGGAGAAGGTGACGGCGAGGGCGATCGTCGGGTATTGGTGCTGCCTTCACCTGGGCTGCCCCCGACGCTGCCCGACATGCGTCGCACCAGCCGGGGAGACTCAAGACCTGCTCGGGCCTGACCCAGGGTTTCACGAGAATTGCGTCGGTGTATGGAGGGCGAGGGCGGCGCTGGGACTCCATCGCCACCCTCAGAGGTCGTGCGGCGTCTCCCCAGCAGTGGCGAGGACGTGACGGCACCGTAGCTGAAGGGCTTACTGTCAGTGCGGGCGTGGTAGGGCAAGTCTTCAGCGGTGGTGCTGAGAGAGGTGTCCAAAAGGGAGTCGTGGGTGGTGGAGCCGCTGTAGCCGTTGACAGGGGAGTGGGGGAGGTGGGAGGTGTATGGGTGAACGCCCGCCTCCCCTGCACCGCCACTCACTATCCCCACTCGTGTGTCTGTCTTGGTCGTCATACTGAAGTCAGGACAGCGGATGGAGTCTATGTCTGGGGCAGGTGTCTGGCCGGGGCGGAGGTCAGGGATATTCTGGATCTCCAGGAGCATACCTTGGAGTAGCTCATCCAGCTGGCGGGCATCCACATAGGGTGGAGGCCCCCCAGCCCCCACCCGCCCCGTGGCCACCGCTGCCGCCGTACCGCGGGATTCACCAGACGTCTGGGAAGTATCAGAGGTAGGAGGGGAGACGGGCGCTGCGCCCGCTGAGTTGCTGGAGGCGATACCAGAGTCTATGGAGGCAGCGTAGCGCCCATTAACGAGGCCGTGGGGTGAGGGTGTGTGGGCTGAGGGCGCGTGTGGTGACACTGGTGAATGTGGTGATGCTGGCGGCGGTGGCTGACGTTTCTTAGTGACAGTGGCGTAAAGAGAGCCGTCGAGTGGCCCCAGTGTGTGGCTCACACTGCCCACACCCGCCACACCTGTAACACACAAATACACATATTAGTTCTCTGTACCAGTGCCTTTACTTCAATGCGCACACATACATCATAAATCACACTTCGCTATCCATTTCTAGCAGCGCTGTATGACCCTGGTTTATCGCTTAGTTTTTATTATATCCATTTCTAAATCCACCAACTATGCATCCAAAAATATTAATAAATCCAAATCAATAATCATGCAAGTTTATCATCAGTTAACAAAAGGATAAGTTCTTCCTGCTTTTAGTATAAATTAGTATTTAGAATTATTGCCTGTACACAATTCCTGGTGTCAGTACCCCCGGGACCCAGTCTGGTTGTGACACCCTTTAACGCCCTCTCACTACTTCCTATGTTCAACTGGGTGACAATCAACAAGGAAGCTTGGCCTCACAGCAAATTGAGGGTGTTGTGCAAATTTGTAAATTAAATATGACCCAAAAATACTAGTGTATGTAGTATTGGAAGAAACATGGCTGGAAACTCTACCATATCACATGTTTACTGTCATATTACACACACACACACACACACACACACACACACACACACACACACACACACACACACACACACACACACACACACACACATATATATAATGTCGTGCCGAATAGGCAGAACTTGCGATCTTGGCTTAAATAGCAACGTTCATCTTGCCATATAGGACAAGTGAAAATTTGTGAATGCAATAATTTCGCCAAAATCATTCTGAACCTAACGAAAAAAATATATTTCACTGTGTGTGTTTAGTATTAAATTATTTTTTTTTTTTTATTATCACACCGGCCGATTCCCACCAAGGCAGGGTGGCCCGAAAAAGAAAAACTTTCACCATCATTCACTCCATCACTGTCTTGCCAGAAGGGTGCTTTACACTACAGTTTTTAAACTGCAACATTAACACCCCTCCTTCAGAGTGCAGGCACTGTACTTCCCATCTCCAGGACTCAAATCCGGCCTGCCGGTTTCCCTGAATCCCTTCATAAATGTTACTTTGCTCACACTCCAACAGCACGTCAAGTATTAAAAACCATTTGTCTCCATTCACTCCTATCAAACACGCTCACGCATGCCTGCTGGAAGTCCAAGCCCCTCGCACACAAAACCTCCTTTACCCCCTCCCTCCAACCCTTCCTAGGCCGACCCCTACCCCGCCTTCCTTCCACTACAGACTGATACACTCTTGAAGTCATTCTGTTTCGCTCCATTCTCTCTACATGTCCGAACCACCTCAACAACCCTTCCTCAGCCCTCTGGACAACAGTTTTGGTAATCCCGCACCTCCTCCTAACTTCCAAACTACGAATTCTCTGCATTATATTCACACCACACATTGCCCTCAGACATGACATCTCCACTGCCTCCAGCCTTCTCCTCGCTGCAACATTCATCACCCACGCTTCACACCCATATAAGAGCGTTGGTAAAACTATACTCTCATACATTCCCCTCTTTGCCTCCAAGGACAAAGTTCTTTGTCTCCACAGACTCCTAAGTGCACCACTCACTCTTTTTCCCTCATCAATTCTATGATTCACCTCATCTTTCATAGACCCATCCGCTGACACGTCCACTCCCAAATATCTGAATACGTTCACCTCCTCCATACTCTCTCCCTCCAATCTGATATTCAATCTTTCATTACCTAATCTTTTTGTTATCCTCATAACCTTACTCTTTCCTGTATTCACCTTTAATTTTCTTCTTTTGCACACCCTACCAAATTCATCCACCAATCTCTGCAACTTCTCTTCAGAATCTCCCAAGAGCACAGTGTCATCAGCAAAGAGCAGCTGTGACAACTCCCACTTTGTGTGTGATTCTTTATCTTTTAACTCCACGCCTCTTGCCAAGACCCTCGCATTTACTTCTCTTACAACCCCATCTATAAATATATTAAACAACCACGGTGACATCACACATCCTTGTCTAAGGCCTACTTTTACTGGGAAAAAATTTCCCTCTTTCCTACATACTCTAACTTGAGCCTCACTATCCTCGTAGAAACTCTTCACTGCTTTCAGTAACCTACCTCCTACACCATACACTTGCAACATCTGCCACATTGCCCCCCTATCCACCCTGTCATACGCCTTTTCCAAATCCATAAATGCCACAAAGACCTCTTTAGCCTTATCTAAATACTGTTCACTTATATGTTTCACTGTAAACACCTGGTCCACACACCCCCTACCTTTCCTAAAGCCTCCTTGTTCATCTGCTATCCTATTCTCCGTCTTACTCTTAATTCTTTCAATTATAACTCTACCATACACTTTACCAGGTACACTCAACAGACTTATCCCCCTATAATTTTTGCACTCTCTTTTATCCCCTTTGCCTTTATACAAAGGAACTATGCATGCTCTCTGCCAATCCCTAGGTACCTTACCCTCTTCCATACATTTATTAAATAACTGCACCAACCACTCCAAAACTATATCCCCACCTGCTTTTAACATTTCTATCTTTATCCCATCAATCCCGGCTGCCTTACCCCCTTTCATTTTACCTACTGCCTCACGAACTTCCCCACACTCACAACTGGCTCTTCCTCACTCCTACAAGATGTTATTCCTCCTTGCCCTATACACGAAATCACAGCTTCCCTATCTTCATCAACATTTAACAATTCCTCAAAATATTCCTTCCATCTTCCCAATACCTCTAACTCTCCATTTAATAACTCTCCTCTCCTATTTTTAACTGACAAATCCATTTGTTCTCTAGGCTTTCTTAACTTGTTAATCTCACTCCAAAACTTTTTCTTATTTTCAACAAAATTTGTTGATAACATCTCACCCACTCTCTCATTTGCTCTCTTTTTACATTGCTTCACCACTCTCTTAACTTCTCTCTTTTTCTCCATATACTCTTCCCTCCTTGCATCACTTCTACTTTGTAAAAACTTCTCATATGCTAACTTTTTCTCCCTTACTACTCTCTTTACATCATCATTCCACCAATCGCTCCTCTTCCCTCCTGCACCCACTTTCCTGTAACCACAAACTTCTGCTGAACACTCTAACACTACATTTTTAAACCTACCCCATACCTCTTCGACCCCATTGCCTATGCTCTCATTAGCCCATCTATCCTCCAATAGCTGTTTATATCTTACCCTAACTGCCTCCTCTTTTAGTTTATAAACCTTCACCTCTCTCTTCCCTGACGCTTCTATTCTCCTTGTATCCCATCTACCTTTTACTCTCAGTGTAGCTACAACTAGAAAGTGATCTGATATATCTGTGGCCCCTCTATAAACATGTACATCCTGAAGTCTACTCAACAGTCTTTTATCTACCAATACATAATCCAACAAACTACTGTCATTTCGCCCTACATCATATCGTGTATACTTATTTATCCTCTTTTTCTTAAAATATGTATTACCTATAACTAAACCCCTTTCTATACAAAGTTCAATCAAAGGGCTCCCATTATCATTTACACCTGGCACCCCAAACTTACCTACCACACCCTCTCTAAAAGTTTCTCCTACTTTAGCATTCAAGTCCCCTACCACAATTACTCTCTCACTTGGTTCAAAGGCTCCTATACATTCACTTAACATCTCCCAAAATCTCTCTCTCTCCTCTGCATTCCTCTCTTCTCCAGGTGCATACACGCTTATTATGACCCACTTCTCGCATCCAACCTTTACTTTAATCCACATAATTCTTGAATTTACACATTCATATTCTCTTTTCTCCTTCCATAACTGATCATTTAACATTACTGCTACCCCTTCCTTTGCTCTAACTCTCTCAGATACTCCAGATTTAATCCCATTTATTTCCCCCCACTGAAACTCTCCTACCCCCTTCAGCTTTGTTTCGCTTAGGGCCAGGACATCCAACTTCTTTTCATTCATAACATCAGCAATCATCTGTTTCTTGTCATCCGCACTACATCCACGCACATTTAAGCAACCCAGTTTTATAAAGTTTTTCTTCTTCTCTTTTTTAGTAATTGTATACAGGAGAAGGGGTTACTAGCCCATTGCTCCCGGCATTTTAGTCGCCTCATACGACACGCATGGCTTACGGAGGAAAGATTCTTTTCCACTTCCCCATTAAATTATTGTAAACAAATCTAAAATATATTTAGTTCGGTTAGGCTAAAATAATTTGTTCGTGTTATGATAAGGTTAGGTAAGTTTTCTAAGATTCTTTTGGAGCAAAATTATTTTTTTTTATATTAACATTAATGAAAAAAATATATCTTTAAATGTATAAGAGAAAATTTTAGAAAGGACTTAATTTTAAATGAGTTCTTGCTAATTGACCAGTTTTACATATTCGGCACGACATATATATATATATAATATATATATATATATATATATATATATATATATATATATATATATATATATATATATATATATTATATATGGATTTGTAAAAGGCGTATGACAGGGTGGATAGGGGAGCAATGCGGCAGATTTTGCAAATGTATGGAATAGGAGGTAGGTTACTGAAAGTGAAGAGCTTTTATAAGGATAGTGAGGCTCAGAGTATGTAGGAGAGGGAGATTACTTCCCAGTAAAAGTAGGCTTTAGACAAGGATGTGTGATGTCACCATGGTTCAATATATTTACAGATGGGGTTATAAGAGAAGTGAATGCTCAGGTGTTGGCAAGAGGCGTGGGGTTAAAAGATGAAGAATCTAACACAATGTGGGTGTTGTCACAGTTGCTCTTTGCTGATTACACTGTGCTTTTGAGAGATTCTGAAGAGAAGTTGCAGAGGTTGGTGGATGATTTTGGTAGGGTATGTAAAAGAAGAAAATTAAAAGTGAATATAGAAAGAGTAAGGTGATAAAAAAAATACTTGACGAAAGATTGGAGGGAGAGAGTATGGGAGAGAATATTAGACAGTAGTGGATGTGTCAGCAGATGGGTCTTCGAAAGATGAGGTGAATCACAGAATTGATGAGGGGCAAAAAAGTGTGTGGTGCACTTAGGAGTGTGTGGCGACAAAGAATTTTGT